TAATATTCTCTGCTTCTCAATCGGGCTCAAACTGATAAGCGATATTAACGACACCGTTGTTTACAATACAACTGGAGCACATGCCGCTGAGGTGAGGGGCGGGACGTTAGACGCGCACTAGAGGCAGTTTAGCCAATCACAACACACTGGGCTAGCTAACCAATCACCTATTTCTGAGGGCGGGGCTTCATAAAAGCAGGAAATGATCAGCGAGTTTCTCAGAGAAGGGACAGAGCGGTGTGGAATAAAGGTAAATTATGTGAAAAATTATGCGTTTTTTAAAAAACGAAGCATTAACACATGTTAGACTGCACCCCATAAACACAATCAAGCCTAGAAAAAAAAACACTGAACCACCCCTTTAACTTCTTTCTGCCTACATACACAAATATATTTTAAAGTAGTTTATTTTAAATAATTTTTATGAAATTTCTGTCTTTTTTAAATGAACTAATTGTATTTAAAATATTGAAAAGCATATTTATAATAAGCCTTTTCTTTGCTTCATCCACCATCTTGGATTAATTTTTTTCTCCCACTAATCTCTGCACATTGCGTTCTTGAATTGTGTTTTTCCACAAAGGATACATTCGCTGTTGCTGTAGAGTTTGTGGAAAACGAGGTATCTTGGGAGGCATCAGAATAACCTACCATGTTAAGACCCCTGCATTGTGAGAGTTTTCATCCTGACCTCCTGTACCAGCTGTCACCTCACTCCTAACAGGAATGACCTCTCAGAGCATACAGATAGCGTTCACAAGCCACTGACGCTGCTTTAAACACATGCACACAGGCAGAGAAAAGACAGTTTCTCCCTTCCTTTGTCTCCCGCTTTCTTTTATCTCAGTGGCATTGCTATATATAGTGTTGTGCAGAGGGAGGAAGGTGGGTTCATAATTAAAGTTTTCTGGCGGAGCACATCATAGCATTGTCTCATGTTCATCCTGTCTTTAAATGGGCACCTTTTTGACAATGCAAGAGAGTGAGAGCGGGACAGGTCTTCAATGCACCAAAACACATGTTTCGGCCACATCACACTCTGTGGCCATATCACACACACGGGCCTCTAGAGCGGGAACAGGGTGTCCATTCATCCACCCTTCTAGAGACAGAGGAAGAGTGCGCCACTTTTGCTTTCATCATCCCAGTGGGCGTGCGAACGCACACCCTCACGCACACAAACAGTAGTATTTAAATTAGACACTAGAATGATCACACACGACAACACTGATGTTATTACGCATGCATGTGGAGGAACATGCACACACACTCGGAGCAGAGGCCAGGCAGGCTAATTAAAAGGCACTGAGGGTGTTAATGTGTTGTAATGCTGGACGGACTGCCGGGTATTACAGGAGCTGGAGCTTTTACTGTACAGAGCCTTTGAAAGCCGGCCTGATCTCTTCTTCTCTCTCTGCCTCGACAGATATTTCAGCTAATGCCACACTATAATGAATCATTCTCCCTTTTTTCTCCTTAAAGCCTCATGCTGTTTTACACACTACAACCTGTTCATTCTCTGATGGTGATTTTTGTCTCTGGAGGTCAACAGGCCAATGTTGTGTGGGTTGTGTCATTCAAAACTGAATAAAGCATGCCTTTTAAATTCCTGAATTTGAACTGAGGAAGCAAACGGTATGTAAACTTCAACTCAGTGTAAGGAAGGACATATAAAAGGAAATTTGTATAACTGTAATTTTTAACTAGAAAAGCCAACTTTGTCAAGATAAACTTTAAATGTTGGCTTCAGGAAGACTTGATTGACAGTCTAAAGATTTATAAGTATAACATATTTTTTATGGACCACGTTGGAAAAACACTTCATTTCCCAGAATGCATTGCCTGCTTTGAATTTATTTTGAATTGTATTTCAGTAAATTCAAGATACAAACAAGGCATAAAAATGCATAGCACACACAAATAAAAACAGAGAGTTTTTAATTAGGTTGTTTTTGGAATTGAATGGATTATAATTTTAATTGACATTTCTCTCTGGAAAGATTTTTGCACTGAGCTCACTGCAATGCATTCTGGGTTTGCGTCATGTAGTCATAAAGCAAATATTATAAGATATTCTGCCTTAGAATTAGTTCAAAACGAGTATCTTGGAAAGTGGCAAAATTAAGTTGCCAACCTTTTTGGTAAAGCCTTTGCATTGGGAGATGCATTAAAGTCAGCATAATGGCTAATATTGTTAACTAAAACTAAAACCAAAACCATAACAGCCTTTTCATTTCTTAAAATAAAATAAATGTTAAGTGAAAAGTATAAAAAAACTGACCAAGGCAACTTTCTAATGTTTGTTTAGTTTAAGTTGAATTACTCAAATAACTAAAATTAAAACTGACATAAAAAGAACAAAACTACATAGACATTAAAAAATGAATAAAACTGACAAAAACACTTAACAAAATGACTCAAATGTTAAATCTAAAAATTCAAAATATTATTAAAAACTATAATTGTATAGTAATAGTATAGTAATAATAATAAAATAACACCGGCAGGCATGAAATTAAAGTTCACTCTGTTTATTATTTAAATGCATGTTATTTATCTTATTATGAACAATTCATCTGTGCATTTTTTTGACTAATTTTTATTCCAAATATCATAACATAAAAATAAACGATTTGTTGCTCCCTCTTTTATGTTGCGATTTGAAAATACCATCTGCATAGCTCTCTAGGTTTTCTAACAGAGCTTGTGTGTGTGTGTGTGTGTGTGTGTGTGTGTGTGTGTGTGTATCAGTCCTGATAGCCAAATCTTACCCACCCTGAAGTTCTTGTGTATAGTGAGCCAAAGAGGCATATCATTTTGAATCACACAGAAGACTCTAAACTTCTAAGCTTGTGCTGGCTCTCAACACACATGCACGCATACACGAATTGGCCTGCAGTAAATATAAGTGCCGAGTGATGAGGTCATTTTAAGCATACAGAATATGCTTGACTCATACTCATCTACGGCATGTATTACTTCAGCATGAATACCACAGGCTCAACCAGCCGTAAGGAGATGGTGCTTGATGCTGTTTGGTCCATGCAGGGTGAGCATGATGCTACGTTTGCTTTGTGAAGCATTTTCTCAGTGAGTTTGGACTTGATTTTCAGTTAACCTCTGTAAAACCACTGCTGCATATGACCTTGACCTGTATTTAATGCAAGGGACTTGATGTGATTTTGCGAAGTAATCAGGTTAGAGAGATTGTTTGAATGTCTGCCCTCTCAGTATCAGATGTATTGATTCTTCACTGAGGTTTAGAGAGCCAGTACAGTTGCTCCTAAGTTTACATATCCCTTAAAGAATCTGCAAGTTGTTTTACCATTTTTTTTTTAATAAAGGGATTAAATCTTAAAAATAAAATCACAAAACATTTTTTAGTGCTGCTTTTTAGAAGCTGCAAAAAATATTTACATCAATTCCACAATACAGAATACTTGAATTTATATATATGATCTATTTAATATTTATCATTTAATATGATATTTTTAAATATGAATTTATATTTATTATTCATTATTATATTTATATTGTTTATATTTTATGCATGTTGTTTTCTGGAATGTCAGCCATCTGTCCTTTGCAAAACTGTTGTTTTAAACATTTTCCTTAACCTGTGATTCTCACTCCATTTGAGTACATGATCCTGGCTACCATCATCGCCAACTGCATCGTCCTGGCCCTGGAACAGCACCTTCCAGAAAGGGACAAGACACCCATGTCAGAGCGCTTGGTGAGTTCTGGTTGTGTTGATTAGTGTTTCTTTGTTTCCGTATATTGTAAAACCAGAATCCATGTAATTCAACAGAAAACGCAGGAACTAATTGGTCTCTGATGTATCACTCTTTTTGCAGAAATCCAGTGGTTAATTCATGTTTACACACTCTTATTTCTCTTTGTCCGTCCCTTTGTGTTTCTCTCTCACAGGAGGACACAGAACCCTACTTCATTGGCATTTTCTGTTTCGAGTCGGGCATTAAGATCTTGGCTTTGGGCTTTGCCTTCCATAAGGGCTCGTACCTACGCAATGGCTGGAATGTCATGGACTTTGTAGTGGTGCTTACTGGGTAAGTCAGAACAAACACATCCGCATGCTTGAAGCATTCACTAAGAATAAATTGCGCCTACTGATACAGTTATTTATGCGCACACGTCGTCTGCATTGTTTTAGCACCTGATTCACTAAAGGATTTAGCAAATCAGGTAAAAGTACTAGGGAAATTTTACAATCCTTCATACAAATTTTGATAGCACAACAAAAAACAGTATGCTGTTGAACACTCTCATTCTTTTAAGAAGTTCAGTATTAATGCTCACAGAGTGTCTGCACAAATACCCATGACATTGTTTCAAAGCAGTCCGAACTGAGTTGGTACTTGGCTCTTCTGGTATGGCAAGCACTGTTTTGCTGTGAAATACTGATACTTTTTCTGTCCCTGCCACACTAGCAGCAGGAACGTACTTTGAGCAGGGGGGCTGAGGAAAAGGGGGAATTTTTATGTTACAACGCGGTTACACCAAGTCATCCGTTTATTCGTTTTGTTCAATTTTTATGTTTAATATAAGCTAAGCGACTTCATCATTGTACTATTTTATTGTTGATGTAACGTTTTTTTTTATTACATATTGAATCAACCTTAAGCATTAGTTTTGATCAACGAAAAGATAACGTTAAAGATCAAGATGCGAGAATGCGACATAGTTGCTGCCGAGGTAAATGGACTCTCTCGCTCGTGGGTACAGACGTGTTACAGCGGAAAAAAAATATGATCAAAAAGTCATGGCAACAAATGTTTTTTTTTTTATCAGTATATGATAAAAGTTTTAAACAACACACAGTCAAATTGATTTAACTTAACTCATGTTTTACAGTGTGACCACAATAACGACTTATTAGAGTGGCCTACCATACTGACTGGATAATGAGGAAGAATTGTTAGAATTAGAATTAATTATTGTTAGAATTAATACTACTAAAACAAAATAAGATTAATGCGTATGCCTACTGCTGGTTGCTGAAGACTGAATAGCAGCGTTGAACACTGCTGTCTGATTTTGCTCGTCAAAGGAAATATTCCAAAGTCACAACTGAGCCGCTGCGCATCTCCACGCAAACACAGCGGTGTTTCGTTTATGAATGAACCTGCGTTTTTTAATGAATCTAGTGAGTCAATTATTCAGTTACCCATTCATAAAACAGTCACTCGCTTTGTTCCTGAACGAATCAACTGTTTGAACGAATCATTAAACGAATGATTCAGTGACAAAGACAGAAATTTGCTGCCACCTACTGACAGTTTTAGTTTCATTTTTAAAGGGGTCATGTGATGCGATTTAAATTTTTCCTTTCTCTTTGGAGTGTTACAAGCTCTTGGTGCATAAAGAAGAT